CATCCCCGATTCAGCTGCTGCTGAAACTGACCAGCAGCGGCTGAATCAGGGACGCCTGGGGCAGAGCCGGACTATCGTAAGGGGGGGCTATGAGGGGTCTGGGGTGGCATCCCCTCCCACCCCACTCCAGACCCCTCATAGCTCCCCCTTCTGATAGTCCGGCATATTTGATAATCCGGCACCACCTGGGTCCTAAAGGTGCTGGATTATCGGAAGTTTACTGTATTTCTGCAAATCAGACCCTGGGTCAGAAGCCTGGGGCAGAGCCGGACTATCGTAAGGGGGGGCTATGAGGGGTCTGGGGTGGCATCCCCTCCCACCCCACTCCAGACCCCTCATAGCTCCCCCTTCTGATAGTCCGGCATATTTGATAATCCGGCACCACCTGGGTCCTAAAGGTGCTGGATTATCGGAAGTTTACTGTATTTCTGCAAATCAGACCCTGGGTCAGAAATCTGGACACCCAGAACCATATGATTAATGGCAGTCTATGAAAAGTCTGGTTTTCAAGTGTGCTTAGTTTCACACAGGAACTCTGTGGCAGAGTGAGGGATAGACTCTAGGGCCGCGTCTAGACTGGCAAGTTTTTCCACAAAAGCAGCCGCTTTTGCGCAAAAACTTGCCAGCTGTCTACACTGGCTGGGTGATTTTTTACTGTCTGAAATCAGTGCTTCTTGCATAAATGCTTTGATGTTCCTGTTCAGGCAAAAGCCCTTTTCTGGAAATGTTTTTGCGGAAGAGGGCCAGTGTAGACAGCTAAAAACTGTTTTGCACAAAAAAGCCCCGATGGCAAAAATGGCGATCGGGGCTTTCTTGCGCAAAACCGTGTCTAGATTGGCACGGACACTTTTCCGCAAAAAGTGCTTTTGCGGAAAAGCCTCCGTGCCAATCTAGACGCTCTTTTCCGCAAATGCTTTTAACAGGAAAAACTTTTCTGTTAAAAACATTTGCGGAAAATCATGCCAGTCTAGATGTAGCCTAGTTCTCCAGGTGACATTCATGCTTCTTAACCATCTTTCCTCTTCCTGTAAGGTCCTGCAGCACTCATCAGACCTCTTCACAAACATTTGTCAGGTCTTACAGATAACAGAACTCGCCTCACAACCTTGATTCATTCCTTGGGCAGACCTATCCTGTGCACTGCAGAGACAGGGTTATTATTGGGGGAGGGGGGAATGTGATCATGTAATTAGTCTGTGTAATACATACACACTGGAGCAGAAGGGAAAATAGAATTGTGTGTGCAGTCTAACTTTTGAATGCTTGACTTTGCAGCCTTACTGTTTTAGGATAGGGGCTGCTTTTTGCAAAATTTCCTAACTTTTTTTAAAGCAAACCCGCCCTCCCCCTGAAAAAAAAACCCACCTGGGAACCATATTGACTGGGTCAAGCAGGCTTTGGACATTGAGATCCAAAGCACAGAGCTTTGATACTTGAGATGATGTAGCAGAAATAATCTGTTACCTTCCATGTAGGATAGGAACATGTAGTTTGCCAAGTATTTTCACAGATACTTTGACAGAAGACAAACGGGGAGATTGAGAACTCCTGGAATCCATTCTAATTTATGTAAGGGCGTGTTCTCTGTAGTGGTTATATAGATCCTTGTTCCCCAGCCCATTTTTTCCCATTCACCCTGTTCAACGGTCATCCTAGCTCCTGCCCCACTCCCTCTTTGTGCTTCTCCATCCCGTCCCCATCTGTTGGTTCTTAATTCTTTTTGCATTCCGGGTAACCTTAATTCTGGTATTTTCTAACTTTGGAGTGTTTGACTTTGCAGACTTAATGCTTTTTTAATATAGTTTTCTTGTATGTGAGTACATTCTGCTATTTGGAAATTGAATGGGTTGGAGGCACTAAAACGTAGGTATGGCAGGGATTAAAGATAGTGCTTAAAGGAAATGCTGAAGCATTTTATATTGATCAGACTGGTTATAATGGAAAGATAGAACCAATGCAACAAACAGTAGTAACAGTAATAAAAATGTGTCACAGTGATATTAAATCTTGATAAAATAATGCAGACTGCTAGTGTAGATGAGCCTTCTGAACTGAAAGAATCAATTGATTACAAATATATTAGTTGTGCACTTGTAAGTAATTCAGACCTTTAAAACAATTCAATCAGCATTTACTTTGCACAAAAGCAACTAGAACAGAATGAGGCCATTTTTCCAGCTACTTAATTTTAGTGCATCCAGTGCTAGCAAAGAACTTCTTCTCTATGGCCTAATTATTTTATGACAGAAGGCCAAGTGCTCTAAACCAGTTTATTACTGAAGAACTGAAACAACTTCTATGGATAAGGGTTTTATTTCTGATGACAAACTTTAGCTAGTTTTGTTGCTTTTGATTTAGGTTATACCAGTAATAACCATTTTCTTTCATTTTTTGATAGATGCTACCAGACTTGAAGGCAGACAACCAGAGGCTAAAAGATGAAAATGGGGCCTTGATCAGAGTTATAAGCAAACTTTCCAAATAAAAAAGTTTACCACAGCAGCAAAATGATATTGCACATATCTAGTAACTCCAGTGGACCATGGTGTGGCAGTCATTGGAAGCTTGGAAGATTCCTTGGAGACTGTCCTTTTCAGATATCCTGCCAAATGCTCTCTTACCTGTGTTCTCTTTATCAGGATCATTGTTTCATGTTAAAGTGCAGCTGCTGAGAAGATAAAATGACTGAGAAATCTTGTTTACAGCTACAGCATATAAGGAAAGTGTTCAAGGCCAGATATGCCTCAGATCTTTAACCAGTAAGCCTTAGTTGTACATAAACACTTTTGCATCAACGAAAGCTTTCAGCTCCCACAGAAGACAGTTACTCATGTTGTGCCACAGTTCGTAGTTTTTCTATATTCAGTTTTTTCTTTACATCTAAGTTTGGATTTGTGTGTTCCCTTTTAATTATTCATGTATCATTTTTTTTCTTGTACAGTGTTTTCACAGCTTTATCATTTGCGGAGACCACACAATCTTTAAAATCTTTGTTGCTAACTAGAGCTGTATTGTCCAACCACCTGGAACAGAGATGTTTGGTGGAACATTTGCTTTCACTGTTTGTGCAATATGCATTTATTTTCTATACAAGATGCTTTAAAGTCAGTTGAAGCTAGAATTATTTTGAGTCCTGTTTTTCTGCCTTTATTGGTCACTTTAAAAAAACAAAAAAAAAAGTTTGTAGTGAAACATGTTAGATCCTGTAATCTTCACATTCATTTTAGCAGGTACTGTGTGATGCTGTATATATGTGTACTGTTTTGATTTTTCAGACCACCACGTGGCATGCTTGAATATACTTCCCTATTGCAAATGTCTGTTAATGCAAATTAGGCTACTCCAGAATAGTGTGTTTAACAAAGTTCATTAATTTTTATAGTTAATGAATTTACACATTGTACATTGTACGGAGCCCTATATTGACAAAAGGTTTGAATTATACTTTTATTACATTGTTCCTCCCATGTTTTCATTTGATAGTGTTCACCATAATAAAAGTTGCATAAATATAACTGCTTCACTACATTTCACAAACCTGTATTTATCTGAGTGCTGTCCAAAACTGTTGTGCTAGCCAAAGTAACGTTACTAAATCATTTGAAAAACTTAATCCAGTACACTCACAATGTTTATATGCACTGTTATTGCCATGTGAAAAGGCATCTGAGTTGATACCACCACCATGTTCAGACCATTTTATACATTTCAGTGGCCTTTTTTTAAAAAAGTACTGAAGTGAAGATTGCTTTTGTTGGAAACAGCTATTTTTATTCACTAAACTATACAAGATGGCATCTTATTGGCACATAGTCTTGCCTAATACCACTGAACAGTTCAGCCATTAAAATAAATTGTACATTGTAAAGCTTGTAGTAGCTATTGTATTATTGGTTATCGTACACTATATTAAATGTGAATTTGTACCCCTTCATTTAAAAAAAGGTCATTGTGTTCTACTGCCTACTTCTTGGAAATGGGTGGTTTTGTTTTATTGGGGCGGGGAGTTTTTTGTTTCATTTTAGGGTTTTTTGAAGGGGGATTTTGTTTTTGTTTTTTTGAAGGGGGATTTTGTTGTTTTGAAAAGGGAACATGTTCTCTTTCTGTTGATTGGTTTTTTGAAGATGTAAGGTTATGCTCTTACTACCAAGCTCAGGATTCTTGATTTTTAAAGGTACAAGGATAGTTTTTGAGATCTTGTTATAATTGATCTGTATGTGAGGTCTGAATATAAGGAACTTCCATTGTCCTACTCTACATAAAGGCAGAGAAGTAATCCATTTGAATGGTTGCAACATGTTCACTTCTGTTAGGAGACAGTTAAGCATATTCTGGATTATACTTGGTAAAGTTTGGGTGCCTGTGAATGAGTAAATACGTGTTTCTAATATTTTAGTGTTTTATATTTAGGTTATTTATTCTTTATCTAAAAACCGAATGGCTACTGTGCTGTATTGATTTTATTGGTAGTACTGAGCAGACCTTGTATCTGCATGAAACTAGTTGCAAAACCCACTATTTTGGAAAAAATGTATTTTGACAGACAAATAAAACGAATAAAAACTATTTTAAATGTGTGAAAGTTTTACTGAGAACATTTTAAACCATGTTATGGGTTTAGTATTTAAATTCATCAGTGGGCATTTTTTTTCATTCATTGCTTTACTTGGATGCAAAGTTCAAGTGCTTTTCAAAGATTGTAATCAAATTGTGATTATTTGCACATCATTGTACATGCACATCTGTAAATGCAACAGTAAAATGCCATATTTATGCAATCTGTAACAACTTGGACAAATGTTTATATATTTTACATAAACCTGTCTGTATGCAGAACTTAACTGAGAACCAGTTTTTTTGTGCTATTACCACAGTAAAATACAACCCTGAATCTATTAGAGCAGCTGATTACTTTAATTATTCTGTAACACCAATTCATTTCTCCACAAATGTTTTACTAACTAAACTTTGTTTACCTGCAGAAACCCCCCAAAACTAAAGACACCACACCCCCACCTGCAATGGCAGAACTTAAAATACGATTCTGCTTGGCGATACTGGAATGGAGAAAGCACTTCATTGCTAGATGTATTTGACTGACTAAACTTACAGATTTTGAGGGTGCAGTGGAATGAGACTGTAATTCAAAGCAGTAACTTGTAATTTCAATGGGTCTGTTTCAGGGTGGGGAAGAGAGCTGTGGAAGAGTTAATATTTGAACATACATGGAAACAGCTGAAGAAGCACAGGAGTGTAGGGTAGCATATACAATCAACATCACAAATTCATGTGGCCATAACACCCAGGAAGGATGGAAGCAGAGTCTGAGGTTTTGTCTGAGGTTTTAAAAGTTTAAAGCACAGCAACAGCATTTTAAACTGAAAGTGTAGCCATGGCATGAGCACTAAGAGTGAGCTCTCCCAGTGCACTGTGTAAACCACCTCCGTAAGGAGAGTAGCTAACAGATCTGGGAGTACAGCTCTCAGTCCTGTAGCATGGTTTACACTGGCACTTTATAGCGCCGCACGTTGGGCAGGGGAATATTTTTTCACACCTCAAGTCAGAAAGTTACAGTGCTGTAAAATACCAGTATAGACTTTGCCTTACAAGAAGTGACCATGTGTGAGGATACAAGTCCAGATAAACAACAGGAAGGAGTTGGAGAGAGGTCTGTGCATGTAAGAGACTGGATGTCAGTTACTTTATTCAATTCATGACTTTGGCTTCAGAACTAGAAGACTGAGACATGGAACTCTTGGATTCTATTTTTCCTTCTCCCCACCCTAAACAAGTTTCTGCTTTCCTTGGTTTCCACTCAGGATGTTAAATATTGACTATTTGACTAATTAAATAGTCAATTCATTTTGCATCAACTATTGGATTAGTCGATATGGCGATTCTGCCTTTTAAGTGTAGCAATAGCCCTAAGTCTGTTGCTACACTTCAAAAGCAAAAGTGCTTCATGGAGCCTGGGATCAGCTGGGAAGTCCAGCTGATCCTGGGCTCCCCACAGCACTGCGGCTTTGAAATGCTGCATACAGCCTGACGCCGGGCTCCCCACTGCGTTTCAAAAGGCAGTGCCTTTTGGACCCTGGAGTCAGTGGGAGAGTCCCCAGCTAATCCCAGGCTTCACACAGTGCTGAAACACCCACCACATGCAGGCTGGGAACACTCCAGCTGGTCTGGGGCTGCACGCAGCATTTCAAAAGCACCAGTGCCACATGGAGCCCAGGGTCTGGCCCCAGGCTTCAAGTATCACCTCACCTCCACCCTTTTGCTGCCTCTTTCTGATATAGGCAGCAAGGGAGAGGGGAGAGCGACTAGTCCTTCACATCCCTAGTTTCCACCACACACGCTATCCAGGCTTCTGCCACTTCCTTTCCATAGCCAAGACTGAGGTTCATTTCAGTTAACCACCATGTATTTTCCCTTCAGTTTTCCGTGCACCTTGCTCTTCTGTTTCCAGTTCTTCTTTTACCTATATGAAATCAATAACTTACAGGCCATCCAGTGCTCTGTTGACATTGTCTGAGCTGACATAACTCCATGCAAAATGTTTTGTGCTCCAGAGCGAAAAACCAGAACTCTCCTGTCCACATTGCAGATCTCATTATACAGCAGCTAATTTTAAAAGAAAGGTGACACCACGGTATGTTTTGATTAAAGCAGAACAAATATATTCTCATGGGGCAATGAGATGTAAGCATTTATTTGTTTTCAGTTTATAAACTGGGAAAAGTATGAGTCAAAGCACCACTTTAAACATGGGCTGGGGGAGAGGATCAATTGACCCGCTTCATTCACATGTCAACAGAGGATACCCAGTTTGGGGTGTATCTATCTTTCAAGCTGCGGGTATAAATTTTAGCTTGAGACATACTGTGCTTTGAGCTAATGTGCTAAAAGTAGCAGCTACAGGAAGAGCCTGTCTGAGACCCACAGATATGTACTCAGGGTGCTGTAGGTAGCTCTTCAGTTACTCTATTTTGAGGATACTAGCTCAATCAGGTCTAGCAAGGGTGTATCTCCTCAAGCTGGAATTCACACCTCCAGATGTACATATACCCGAAGAGAGAGAGGGATGAGAGGAAGAAAGGAGTGCCAAATATATAAGATCTTCCTTTTTACCTTGCTCCTACAGAATTCTGCAGATCTAGTACACAAGTGTGGTGCCACTACATGGCTGACTTGCCAACCCTAACTCTCATAATCTTGATTGGCTTTGACTTTCATTCAGTAGAGAAGATGCTACTTAATTTCCAACAAGCAGCATAATCATACACAGGTCATCTCCACAGTGTTGAGAGGAACAAAATGATAGGAGGCAGCTGTCATGTCACCACAAAAGAGACTCTGTAGAGAGGTGTCTGCCCATATGCTGAACCCGTGTCTGGTCTGTATAGGCCAGTGTTTCTTAAACATTTTAAGACTGAGGAACACCAAACGATTTTTTTTTAATGGGGAACACTAAGGATTTGTTGTGCAAAAAAAAAAGGGGGGGGTTGGGGGGAAGTTGAGGGGAAAAAAGTTGCCTCTTTAAAGGTGGCCATTTTGAATTCTGTTGTTCTCCATGGCACACCTCTGACTGCCTCACGGAACACTGGCATACCCCGGAACACAGTTTAAGAAACACTGGTATAGGCAAAGCTGGCATACCCCGGATCACAGTTTAAGAAACACTGGTATAGGCAAAGCTGAAAGGCAACAAACCCACCTTTCAGAACAAGAGCCAGTTCAAATATGGAGTTCCCTCCCTTCTATTGTGTGTCCATGGCTGAAGGTTACTAATGGCATGCATTATATCTTGTTGATTTTGTCCTACTTTACTGACACCTTGTTCTGAGGAAAGATGAAATCATTCACTTCTGAATGAAAGGGAGAAGGCCACTTTAAAAGGTACCTACATTTTTACAGGATTACATAATATCCCTCCATTTTAATTCACTCTGCAGCATGAAGGTGGTAAACTTTGTTCTTTTATTACCTGTTTCCCCACTTGCAAAACTGGAAGTTGTGCAACAATTGTAATTTCAAATTGTATCTCTGAAGTGAAGCTTATACAAGTAGGAAAGACAGCTTTTCTGTTGCTCCAAACAAAGATACAAGTTGCTGTTGGGGCAGACACAAATAATCTGCCAATACAAAATGGAGCATGTTTATTCTGGAATGCTGTTTGAGGTGAGGGCTTCACTAAATAGCGTGGAGATGATACTCTCATGAAAAGAAGAGGTTCTTCTAATATGTATATAAGAAATTCCTCTTGAGAGACAATGTTACTTCCTCTGCATCTGACAAATCTTCCTTGGTGTGTTGTGTAAGAGACATTCTCCGATTCCAAGTTAAATAAGATTGAAACATTCTAGAGACCTTTCTATACTTTTTTTTTTTTTTTTATAATTTGAAGTTTGCAGAACACTACTGATTTTTTTAAAAATCTAGGAAAAAGAGAACTTCTATGGAACTCTTGGTTACATCTGACATTCATTGAATATTTCCATTGGCTAGAGTACTTTTGAGGGGACAGGGATCATATTTACCTATTTTACATTTTTTTAAAGGGGGGAGGGTGTCACATCCTGAGTTTTAATATCTATGGTATTTACCTTTAGCCAAAAACTGCAGATAGCAGGAGAAAGTATTGTTAAGCCCAGAATAGGCTAGGAAATTGACTTTTCTGCTCCATAATAATTGATTTGTTTGGAAGAAAAACCTTTCCATACTGGAACAAGGCCAAAACACTCCAATTTGTCATGGAACTTAAATCCTGCAATATTTCATCTTAAAACACCAAAGCATGCTCTCGCGGTTCTTTTGTATTTGCTGATTGGCTAGTCTGACCAATTTTATAGCTGTAATTTAGTAATGGATGGCTGTGAAACTGGCGTTGTGTCAATTTCAGTCTGCAGTTTCTTGCCCTTTCAGGGCTTTTGGTTTCCCAGTGGTTCCACCATGCTGCTTGCTTTAGTGAGGGGACTATAGGGCTACCTTAACCCCCTGCTGCTGAGCTCTCACAGTAGCTAGCTCCAAGGCTGTAGAAATCAGGCAAGGCACAGAGCAAAGTAGCTTGTCTGGAAACCCTGGGATTCCTAACTCCCAAGGCAGCATGGTGACTCTTCCATGGAACCAATCA